ATAGACACATAATAATAATAAAAATTTTATATGTTTTTATATGTGAAGCAAAAATTTTTAAAAATCCGTTATTGTAAGAATTTAATTATTATTATTATTATTTATAGTCTGTTGTGACAAGGTTAATAACGGATTTTTAGAAAAAATTTTCTACGCTCAAACTATCTGCTAAACCAAGATTGTGTATATTTTAAATTTTTTTAATTGATAAAGGATATTATAGCCGAAACTGTTTTTGAAAAAAAGATAGTTTCGTCCAATACATATAATAAGTACCTAAATCAATCTACTTTTATTTTAAAACTCCCAATTTCAGCCATTAAAATTAGTTTCGTCAAAGTTTAGGCCAATTAATTTCGGCAATTTTGGCCCACTAAGTGTAGTTTCGGTCACCATTACTAGTTCGAATCAGTTCAAATCAAATTGAATGGAATCAGTTCGAATCAAAAATTAGGTGATTCGATTCGATTCGAATTCGAAATTGATTGATTCGTTCGGAACTTTATGCTGCCACAAGACTTTAATACCATTAGTAACAATTTCAAATGGAAAAATAAAACATTTACCTGTAGTTTTTCAACAAATATTTTATCATCAAAACCCAAAATGCTTGGTCCAGAATAATGTGTTGTTTTATCAAAAGAAATTTTATAATTTCCATTTACCACTTCACTTGATGTTGAATAAACAATTGCATCATTATCTCGTTATCTGCCTCATATATATAACCAGGCTTTATACCATTACTTGTATTTACAACTGTTCGAATAATATATACTAATGAATTATTTTTGTTTTTTAAAAGAATATTGAATGTGGATTTTGCATAATGTCACAATAACATTTAACATGATCAGCATTTTTATTTTTTTATATTATGTATTATTACGGATTATCTTATGTTTGATTTATAATTCATTTTTTATATTTATCATATGTATTTTTAATACAGATTATCCAACCTCTTATAAATAATAATTTAGTCAACAGTATTGTCAGTACATAATATATTAATGTTTTTGAAAAAGAGCATTGAATGCGAATTTCCATATAATACCACAATGACGTTTAACATTACATCTGATTTATAATTCATTTTTATAAATAATAATTCAACCAACAATATTGTTAGAGTTATCTTGGCAATGATACTATTGATTCATCATTTCTTTTGTTAATTAATTGTTTGAATTCTTTTCATGTAATCATAATATATACTTGATTTACTGATTTGGCATTTGAAAGTAATATATAAATAAGTTGTAATATTTTAATAAATTAAAAAAAATAAAATTTTTTCTCATTTATCATACTATGGGTGATAATACTGAATATTACGAACTAGATTCTGATATTGATACCATTCTTGATACATCAGAGACTATTGAGGAAGTTGTTGAGGAAGTTGTTGAGACACCTGAGAAAAAATTTCGAGTAAATTTTCAGCATCAACATAATTTTAAATCCAAAAAAAAAAGTTTTGTTTGGAGTTATTTCCAAGAAGAAAATGGGAATGATGTATGCAAAATACTTATCTCAGTAAATGGTAAGGAAACCACATGTGGTAAAAGTTACAAACATGATGGTTCAACTGGTAATATGAAACAACACCTTCAAATGAAACATGGAATATTGGAATCGGAGGAACTCCATACTGGTTTAGAAAAATATGCTCAACCAAAAATTGATAATATTTTCAAAAAAGTTATTCCACATAGTTCGTCCAAGCAAAAAGAATTACAGCTGAGTGGTTGATTACTGATTCATTACCTTTTAATGTTGTAAATAAAAAAGGATATTTAAAAATGATGAAAACAATTGATCCTGCTTTCAATCCACCTTCCAGTAAAAGCATAAAAAATAGTCTTGCTGTTGCATATAACAAAGGCGTTTTACAATTAAAGGAATTGCTTTCAAGAACCTGTGAAACTGCTTCTATAACAACTGACTTATGGACATCTCGAAGTAATGATGGATATATTGGTGTGACTCTTCATTGGTTATCACCAGATTTTGAAGTATATGATGCAATATTGGCTGTTAAAAAAATAGAATATCCACATACAGGTGAATGTATTAAAGAATACCTAAATGCAAAAGTTGAAGAATTTGAATTATCTGGTAAAATAGTTTGTGCAATTACTGATAATGGTAAAAATATGAAAAAAGCAATTAGAATTTGGGATGTTGTAGAACATATATCATGTTCTGCACATACTCTTCAACTTACAGTTTTTCATATTAAACCATATACAAAAAGAATCAGAAAGCTTGTCAAGTTTTTCAAATCTTCAAAACAAAGTCAACGACTAGACCAAGCACAAATTGACTTAGCTCAACGAAATAATGTTACTGCTGCACCTGTTCAGTTGCATGGTTCTCAAAATTTAATTGAATTAGAAATAGAAGAAAATAATAAGTCAGAAAATGTAGACATAAATGAAGTAAAAACAAGATGGAATTCATCTTTTTTATCTTGGCAAAGGCTTCTTAAATTACGCACAGCAATTGAATGGCTTTCCTCAACTTTACATTTACTAGAAGATGCTGGTGCAAAGGAAGATTCTCGAAAACTAAATAATTATAAACTCAATGAAAATGAATGGGAATTATTAGAAGGATTAGTTATGTTGTTTAAGCCTTTTGATGAACTAACAACTTACTTCAGTGGAATTAAATACACTACTCTTTCAGTTGTTAATCCAAGTATAGAGACATTAAAATTTGAGTTTGCTGATGGTGATTTGTTGGACTCGCATGAGCTGAACAAAATATTTAATGATAATGAAACTGAAAATCTTGGTTTTGATGAAGGTAATTATTTTTCAATTAAACCTTTTTTTCTTAATTAAAAATTAATTTTTACCTTTTTCATATTTTAGATGAAATTTCATCTGATGATGAAAGCTCTGGAGATGACTCAAGAAACATAAAACAATTAAAAGCTCCATCTTCTCAACAAATAATTTCTAAAGTTAAGGGAATCATTTATAGCTCGCTCTGGAATTATTGGAGTGATTCAGAAAAGATTGGGCTAATGGCTACTTTATTAGACCCAAGATTGAAATTAATGGAAGTATGGTCAAATGAAACAAGAGAAGAAGCAATCAAAGAACTACGTACTGAATTCAATACTTGGCAAATCAAAGTTGCAAATGATGATTCTTTAGAAGAAATCCCTTCTTCATCCACACCTTCCTTTATGAAAAAAGTATTTTGTCATAGCCAAAGAAAAGTGAACCATGAGATTGAAATAGATAATTATTTAAACGAAATGATAACTCCAACACAACCTGAAAGAATTGATGTTTATCAATGGTGGAATAACAATCGAAATTCTTTTCCTATTCTTAGTAGAATTGCACGCAAATATTTATCAATACCCACCACTTCTATTCCATGTGAACGTCTTTTTTCTGATGCAGGGAATTTAGTTACCTCTAAAAGAACACGTTTAGGACATGAAGTAGTAAATCAGTTATTATTTGTAAAGAGAAATAGTTTATATTGTAAAGTTTGGAATTAATAAAAAATAAAATTATTTTTTATCATTTATGTAAATTAAATCCATATATAGAAAGATCTGTTCACTACCCGGTTGACCCGTCGGGTAGACCCGCGGGTCACCCGGGTGAAGTTTTTTTAGACGGGTCCAATCTCTACTTATATACATCGGAATTAATGAGAGTGAATATAAAAAACAAATCTTGGTTTTTATAGTGCAGGACACCTAGTCCCTACAACTTTCTGCGCCACAGCGACAGATTTGGGAAAAAATTCCCAATCAAAAATGCAATAAAATTTTTACAGTCACGTGTTTTATGAAGATTGTCAAAAATAGATTTTATGTATATATATATATATAATATATAGATCAAGATAATAAGTTTATATTAGATAATTAATCTGTTTTTTAAAGTATGTAACAATCATACCTTTGTGATGTTCTGCAGAGGGCGAAGCTCTCTGCAGGCCCTCCGCAGGAGTGTTCGCTTCCTCACGTGAGGAAGAAAAAAAAAAAAAAAAAAAAAAAAAAGAGCAATATGGAACTGTGAATGTTAATTAACTTATAATAAAATAAATAAGCAATTTACTTTGTGATGATAATTAACAAATTGTTTTATTGGTGGATAATTTTATGAATTTTTCTTTGTTTAAAAATTTTTTTTTTTTGTAAATACATTCATAATAATAAATAAACTATCCTCACAACATAACAACTTTCACTAAAAGGCAAGTGTTGGAATGCATGCATTGTGGAATCATTTATTATTACTCTTATATGTCATGGGTCTGTGTGGTTAGCTCCAGTTCCACCTATTAGTATGCGGGATATATATACTTCTAGGGGTCCACTGGATATGCCGTCATGCTTATTAGATGAATATAATTGATTTCCACAGTTTTAATTTTCTTAATATTATTATCAATGATCTGCAGGGTATTATTATATATTTCTGAAGGTTTATCCTTCTGCAGTTTCATTCTGAGACCATAAATATGAGAAGTCCGCATAAGTTGAGCAAGGATGTTTCTGTGAAATATTTATTCCAAGGGTTGATAATTTGTGATTTGTTTTATTACCCTATCTAATAATTATTTGGACTGGCAAACCTTTGATTATTTAGTTAGGTTCACTTATTTATTAACACATGATAGATAATAATAATCTGTTGGCTTTAAATTTTCTGATTATTAATGATGAATAAAGAATAGAAGGGAATGAAAATTAAGACATTATTTTTGCTTAGTCATATGGGTATATGGACTAACTACCCTTCTCTTTTTTTATATATAATTATTTAGATGGTGCATAGAAGAAGATCAATAACAGCTCGCAATCATAGATCACAAGCAAGGAACAACATAAATTCTCGTATATATAAATCGTCTTAATTCTTCTCAATATGTATGTATGACATATTCATATTTGTATATATTTGTATTTATATTTTCATTATCATATTCAAATATTTTTTTAATTTTAACAGATATATCCTGATATGGAGCGTCTTGATTATTTTGAATCTTTAATAGATAGGTTTTTACAAGGAAATAATCCTAATTCTTTAATTTATGTTGAAAGAACATGGGGCAATTACCGTAATGAAATTGTTAGATACCTCTGTCATTATCATCACCATCATCAATGAATAATAAATAAATTTTAATTGTAATAATAACTCTATTCTCTTTTTTATTATTTGAAATACTCACAAATGAATATAATATACACCCCATATGATTGTTTTTGTTTCTCTTCATATAAGAGTTAGCAGATGTCTCATAAAACGTTTTAAAACTAAAATCTAAGTCTTATAATTCAAATATACATGATTGGATTATCATTCCCTTTTTGGTAATAATATTTATTTATAAGTCGCGGCCGAAATCCATCTGAACAATTTAGTTGATTATAACTTTCAACAATCCAATTGATGTAACTAAGACCAT